AAGACATAACAATAAATCACAACTGAAAACTTTATGAAGATGCATAATAGCAAAGTGAAATTTTTTAGGGGCTTTATATAATTTACAAATGCCTTTTATAAGGAATTAATTACCTGGTGTGATTTTGCATTTTTCTGGTAACTTCGACAGACCACCATTCAGCACCGCTGCGACTACTTTTTCATAATCTGGACACTCACTAAAAGTAAAACAAAATCATTTGAATGAAAAACTGATCAACAGTCAAGAATAGAAATTTTACCTGTATGTACTCCTCAATAGTAATATATCCTCTGCTTGTCGTTCCTTCATTTTTTCACAGCTCAGTTTTTCACCTCAATATAATAAAAATATAGAAAGGAAAAAAAAAACTTTAGAGATTGAAGAAGCACAAGATTCGAAGAAGTCTATAACAAATTTTGAGATTCAACCTGAATGGATATGTCAGTTCTTGTGAAAATTCTTTGAAATATAAAATTGCACATCAAAATTCTATGGTTTTAATAGTGATTATAATAAATACTGAAGACAACCAGAATTAGTTAGTCTCACATTATATGAAGTATTAAATTTGTAATCTACTAACCAGTTTTTTTGATTTCAAAATCAGTGAATGCGTTTGCAAGAGCTGCAAGTATTGACTGTTCTGCCAAACCAATTCGCAGCTTCCCGCTCAGACATCTTATCAGATAACGAGCTTCACAGTCACGACATGAAACCAAAAGTGATTTGATCATATCCACTTTTTTATTCATTGCCTGGAATCCACGAAATAAGGAAATAAGAAAATAGGTAGAAGAACAAGCAGTTTGTTATTCACAGGATGGAAAAACTCACTGTAGCCATAAATCGAGACCGTATGTTGCCGAGTGCATTAATTTCCCAAAAAAGCCCGTGATATAAATTAATGAGCTTTTCCCAAGAATTCTAATATGTTAAGACAAAATTCTTATTTTCTCGAAATTAAATTCGTTAAAAGTTAACGAAGCAAGAAACATGAAATTTCATTTCGTTTACTCTGTTCCATATACACTTACCATATGTCCGGAAGTTTTTGCCATATCTTGCAGTTTATGAAAAACTGCAGTTACAGTAAGAGGAGCCGGAGTAAACAAAATACGCTGATTACTCCGACTCATTTGCGCAACCAAACCCAAATCTCCTTTTTGGTTTAGATCCTCCTTCAGTTTATCAATCTTAAATATACACTGTTTTCATAATTTGAATCGAAACTATGATAGAATTTCCAAAATTACAACTTCCAAATAAGTTTTTTACAAAGTTAAAACACCTTACGACCAGTCGCTTGGGCGATGGCTTTCATTAAAGCTCCTTCAGCAATGCCCAACTCCATCCCTTCATATGTTGGGCCAAGTTTATTCACACACAAATAAACACAAGTTGCCAGTTCGCTTGGCGTTCGTTCTATTACTTTCATAAAGAAACTGGCCAATATTTTAACTATTTCCAACCTGAAAGACAAACTTATTTAACAGTTATTTTTAAGTAGAAAGGAGTTCCTTTTTCATTTATACTCGGTAACTTTCCACTGCAAAAACGGTTAGTAAGCAAAATCTTATCACTTCTTCCCACATTACTCTCTACTTTCTCTTCTTAATTCTACCAACCATAAGTAGCCATAAACCAATTATTTTTCATATCAAACATTAGATGAATACTACTTTTCACACTTAATCTGATAATGACAAAGAACTGATGAAGAAGAGAATCGAGGAAAAAGTTCATCACCAGCCAAAAAAATGCAAATTTTCAAAAGAAAAAGAAAAAAAATTAACCGTGATGATGTGGCTTCAATACCTTCGAATGTTTTCGCCAAGCAAAGATATGGTATCCTGAAAAACAATTTTTTGCCCATATTCTCCTCAAATTTCATAATACCCTTGAAAAATAACTTTCTCATCAAAACTTTTCCTATTTAGATGAATTTTGATATTAGCAAAGTAATGTTTCAGTGATACAATACTTGTCAAATAACAATAAGTGATTATAAAGAACCACGAATGGGTGTTGATTATAAAGAATTAGCAACAGCATGAAACATTACGACCATTTCATGTCATAAGTTACATTGTGTATTTGTAAGATATTTTGAAGTCTTGTTAGAATTATGCTAAAATAAATAATCTATGGAAGATATAAATGACAGCATTATAATTAACATGAAACAGTTAAACAACAGGAGAAAGTTACACAAAACAGGACTTACTTTTCTCCTGTTTTCCAATCATTCTCAACATTTCGTGTAGTTTCAACCAATTGACTAAACATTCCCGAGCGTATCTGTTTATATCTAATCGCTATACATCCTATTCTATGGAAATATTGCATGCAGTATGAATGATAATACACAAAGTATTAATAGTAACCATAATGTGAGCAATTCGAATAATATATAAATTGCTGTAACATGTTTAATATGTTTGAAAGAGTAAAATCTGAAATGTAAGTTTGAAGTATTAAATGAATGCAAAATGCTAAGCTTATATCCTTCTCAGCTCATTCCACCACTTTTAAAATATTTGACCATTGAATACATCGAATGAAAATCATTTCTTCCCATGCTGTTTCACAGAGCCGAAGCATGCTGAGAGGATGCAACATTAATGCTATAAATTGGCGGGAATCGGACATGTCAAATTGTAATAATGTCAAATTGTCAGGTGCTGGAAAATAGTATATTAAATTGATAGATGAAGAAATAAAGACATGGAGGAAAACTATTTTTCGAGAGAATTAGAAAGATAAATTGGATGCGACAGAGTATAGGAATAATTGGAAGATGAAGACGGGAGAGAGAGAGAGAGGAGCATGATTGCGGAAATGCGGGAAGGATTAGGAGGAGAAAGTTGGAAGTATGATTTGGGGTCTAAGTATGTGGGAGATATCTGCGAAATGTGCGGGGTAATTTTGTGTGAGTGGTAGCATTTTAAAATGATATTTTTTAAGGGTATATGTTATTTGTTCAATGAGACCGGAATATCACCATCCCTTCAATCGTTCCGCACTGATAAGTTAGTGCTGGAAGTCAATATGAATACTTCCGGTACACCCCGGATTTTCCCACTTTTACTGATAATGCAACAAATGTGATTTCTTTCTACTGGCATTGTCACAACAACAGCTTTGAACTTGCCAATGAGGAATTTGAAAAATATGTTAAAACATCATTTAAAGGCATTCATTCGAAGTTTAAACACATTAATTCAATATCTTTGATAGCTTTTTTTCTTCAACTTGAAACTATTATATTTCTAAATTCTGAAATTTACTATTAATTAGAAGCTAAGAATTATTGCTTCTATAATATGCTAAATCCTTCGTTATGTATTGAAAAATAAAATATTTGATTGACAAATATGTTAACCTGAAGTTAATCACGAAGTCTTCAATATAATATTTTTATTTATTCATTTAGAAAAAAAGAAAGAAAAAGAGAAACTCTAGAAAGGAATTGCCCAGCGATGTGTAACATATGATTGGTTGATCATGACCATGGTAATAGTTGACAGCCTAATCGATTTCTTTCATTTTTCCAGCTATGTGGTCGCAATGTGATTTACCGTGGAATATTGAATAAATGAAACATGGGTGTAGAGAATTAATACGAAAAGAATTTAAACTAGTTATTATAAGTAAAATATCAAGCAACTCATATGTTACTTCCTAAAATTGATAAACAGAAATGAAAAAATTTTTCAAAAATACAAATGAGATGAAATGACAATTAAACATTATCAATTGATTTATCATATTGTTCTTATCGTCATTACGAATCATGAGATATCTTAAATAAAATATATGAAAAGGTAAATAAAAAGTAATTTTTCCAAGTGATGAAAAGAAACGGAATAAATGCATTCAAAAACACAAACTGCGATTATGTGATAATCGTGATAATCATACATGAAAAAAGAATGACAATTTATGACGTTATGTGAAATATCAAGCTCAATAAATTGACATAACCAAGAGAAATATGAATGCGCGGAATGTATTCGTCAAACAGTAATAATAATCATAATGATTAAATAATACTGTTATCATTAATAGCATGAAAATAACTATAACAATAAAGTTAAAAAATGATACAAGTACCAAAAAAAATAGCAATAAAACATGAGAGAAGCGAAAGTTATTTATATATTTAAAATTTTTTGCTCTTTTAAAATCCAACAGAAATATAGTAATGTAATGCATGCACAATAAATGATGACCGACTAGGGAAATGACAAATTGTTTGATTCATAATTATTAAGAGATTAAGAAGCAACTCACTTGCTAATATATATCAATATATATCATTTAGACACCTAAATAAGAAATGCTAATATCTAATGATGACAATGATAAATGATTTCTGTTCTAATGTATATAAACTAGTAATTTGAAATATCATTAAATTTGAAATTGCATAATATGCAACAATATAAGCGATTATTTGCTTTTGTAAAGCTCCCGACAATTTCAGAAATAAACTTCATCCAATGCTAATATTTAATGATATTTCAAATTACTAGTTTATATACATTAGAACAGAAATCAAGAAGAAATCAGCATTAATTAAAAGAAAAGATTAGAAATGATCCAAAGACTGAGTAGTTCTATTCGTGCACTACCACTAAGAAGATGCTCAAAAAGGAGATAAAGAAAAAAAAGGGTTTTTTTTTTCGCACTAAAGAGTACTGACATAAGTTGCTTGATCACATAGATTATCTCATCTATATGTATCACCTTCGTAGCACATAAAAGTCACGATTCTCTAATAATGATTAAGACAGTGCACCATTGTTACATTTGTATATTTGCATGTAAAAGTTCTGTTTAGGATATTGCTTAGGAAATATTGTTTGCACATATTGTAGAATATTCTTATATTGTAGAAAAAAAAAAGTTATATTATAAAATATTGTGTATTTCTTTAATTTGACAGATGTATGGCTTATTTTAAGTGAACTTTGGCGTGTATTTCAGACTGCGAAATGTTTGCTGCGGCTGAAGAAAGTCCGGAACATCCGGACATATCTGATGTTCTCCGGTATTTGGAGAATGCACCTGTAATGCTCCGTGCATTACAGGAATTCATTTCCGCCAAACAGCAGGTAATTATTTCATGATTTTTATTTATCTTTGGTATTGTTGCTTAATTGCTATATCTGTGTTAAGAATACCGAATAGTAATTAAGCTTTGAAGTTTTAATGGAATAAACTGAGATTGAAAAAAGGAATGATAAGTAAGCATTATAAACTTTTCAGTATGAAGACATGCTGCTCACCCGCTTGGCGGCTTACGAAGGGCGAAATGCCCAACAAAATATGGAAGAGGGACCGGCACCTCAGGAGCCGGAATTTAACATAGAAGAGGCAGAGTGGGCTCCTCTGCCTGACAGTTACGATGCAGAAGAACAATGGCTGGCGGAAGCAGAGTTGGCCCCTCTGCCAGATGATAGCGAGGAGAGCCCTGAGGTGCCGGTGGCACCAATGGAAATAAGCAGCGTTGACGAACCGGAAGAAGCAATCCGAGAAATCGTCCTGTAAGCCTTATTTTAATGTATAGGCAAGAAACTTTAAGAAAGTATTAAATTTCATTTATTATACAAGAATCTGTTTCAGAAGATCAAGGACGATCACAATACCGGTTCCAGTCACGCATGCAACGGTGGCTGTGGCAGTACCGGAAGTGTTTCACCCCGCAGATCTCGGGGATCTTCCGGACCAATTCCGAAGAGAATTGGAAGTGCCACAGGCAGAACCGTACACGGTGGTTCGAGAGGAAGGAAATATTACTATCGGTAATTCATATGCAGAATTGCAACTAGTGAAATGATCCTAGCTTGCTTTTGCTTTTACTTTAATCAAAAAAATCAACCAAGCTATAATAAACATTCTTTACATATAACATTTTTGATTTCAGTGTGCGGTATCTGCGATAGGCAATTTGAAACGTTAAAGGGGTGGCGCATTCACGCCTCCAAGAAGCATAAACAGGACGGTAAGTGATTTAAAATGGAATTTTCAATCATTTCTGGCTCATTTAATTCGTTTAAAATTTGGGAGACTCATCAATTACATATATTTCAGGTTTTTGTGCACGCTGTGGCCATAACCTCCTGTTGCCACCCGAATTTACGGCTGCACAGAGAACAGCAGCGGTAGAACTCCATGCCCTCGATTGGTGTCCGAGGGCATGTGCAGCCGTAATGGACGAAAGGCAGGTTAAACGCCGCCGGCTCAATCTTGTGGGGAGAGAAGAGGATGCTCAATACCTCTTCGTTCCAGGTGAGAAAAGTCATGGAGTGAAGTTTAAAAATAAAGACCAGATTGGAACAGAAAGATTTGTAAAGTTGACTTCGCAGCTTTTTCAATCAGTGAATTTTTTTTGCAGGCCGGTAATACCATTCGGCACTCCCCACGCGGCCAGCCTGTCGCTGCCTATTCCAATGCTTCACTCTCTATCCAACGAAGGCGGTCAAGCGGGTTAGTAAATTTTGAAAAAAAAAAAAAAAACCAAAAAAATTAAAAAATAAGAAATAAAAAGAAAAAAATAAAAGAGAAAAAAATAGTAAAAAATAAAAAAATGAAAAAAAAAAAGAAAAATAAAAAAAAGTAAAAGTAAAAAAAACAAAAAACAAAAAAAAACGAAAAATTAAAAAAAAAATCGAAAAAAATTTTTTTTTGTTCTTTTAAATTAATTTGACTACAAAAACAATCGAATTCAAAGTTCGGAAAGCGGAACAGACCAATCCAAACGAGCCATTGGTAATGATAGATAAAAATCAAGAAACCTGCAAAGGGATTTTTTTTGATTGCCACTAAATTCGGTAGCAACATACTTTGAATTCGATTATGTTTTTTTCAGTTTTTTGTTTTCTTCTTTTTCTTTTTTTTTTTTTGGTATTGAAAACTTATTGTTGTTGTATATTTATTTTGCATTTGGTCAGTATTATAAATGTTTTTTTCTTTCTTTTTGTTTTATTTTCTTCATTTTTTTAACTTAATGTTTTTAATTGTTTTGTGCTATTACTAGTAGTTTCTAGTTTTCTGTTTTCTTAAAACATCTAATAACTATTGTTTACTGTTTGAAGTTTATGTTTATTTAATATTTGAAAGTTCTTTTTTTTTTTGGCCATATTTTGGCAACTTTTAATGCATTTAATTTTGTATTATTTAAATTGTAATAAGTTTTTTTGTTCTACTTGTTCTGTTTGTTAGTGCTTTGTAATGGTTTAGGATGATTCGATATAGATAGTTAAATAGAGCATTTTTTTAAATTTGTTTTTAATGGAGCTTGGGCAATTTTTAAAAACTTTGTTCTGATTGTAGCTACTAAATTATCAACTTGAGAAATAATAATATCATCGAATTATCAGTATCTTGTTTTCATTTTTTTATATTGAATCAGTTCTTATCTAATATTGTAACTTTTTTTGTGGTAGGGTAAATAATTAAGGATGTAGATAAAGTATATCTACCTCCAATAAAACTTATAAACTAGAGTGAGATAAAAACACGGAGAAATTTAGAAGAAAATCTTCTCCATTTTTTGATTTATTCCTGAAGTTCTTTTACTTCCAAAACAAATTTTCGAACTTATAACCCATTTTTTAATTTCTAGAATATTTTTCCAAATAGTGAAATTATGTGAATTTTTGGAAATCTTTTTTTTTCTTTCCGTATTTTCCGTACTTTACAAGCCTCGAAAAATTTGCGGATTCCCTTTGAGATTTTTAACTATTTTTTTTCTTTTAAACGCTTCTAATTATTTGTTTTCGTTTTTTTCTTTTAAAGGTAAATTTTATTTTGTATGCCCTGGCCTTGAATTTCTGATTTTTTAATTTTTCTGAATTACTTGAAAAATTTTTGACATTATTTTTGATTTGTATGGATCTTTTAGTTTTATAGTCCATCTTTTTTTCTTTTTTTATTATTTTTTTATTTGAATTTTTTATTTTTAACTTCAAATTATTTTCTGCTCACATTTAATTTTATTGCAATTTTTAAATGTTTGTCTTTCATTATTTTCCATATTTTTTTATTAACTTATTTTTCCTTAACTTTTTTGATATTTATTTCTATTTTTTATTTATGCATGCCTGTTAATTTTAAATCAGGTACTTTATGCTTGGTGTTATTTCTTTTTTACAATATTATTTATCGCATGCTTTTTCGTTTTATTTATTTTTATTTATTTCATAATATTTCAGATTAGTTGTATTTTTGAGTCTTTTCCAAAATTTTCTTTCTGCATGACTTTTTATGATTCTACTGACTGCATGCTTTTTTGTCAATTTAACCTAATGCTATTATTGGATAGCAGTTTATTATTAGAGTTCTTAATCTTTTTTGTTAATTTCTTTTTTCATGCATTCAATGTAGTGCCAATAATTGCATGCTTTTTTGATAATTCAATTCTTATTCTTGCATTATATTTTGGATTAATTGTAATTTTGAATCCCACTTCTTATTTGTTTAGTTGCATGCATTTTTTATAGCTTTCCTGACTGCATGCCCTTTATATAATTTATTGTTAAACTAACTTATTGTTATATATAATATGTGCTTTTTTTAATTTCGTTTTTGTATGCATTTTGGGTTACTTTTAATTACTGCTTTTATATTTCGTTAACTTTGCTCACACTAATAACAACAATTTTACTTACTGTTAATGCATGCCTTTCTTGTAATTTCACTGACTGCATGGTCTTTTCGCAGTTCTAATAACTGCATGTTCGTCCTGTAATTTTGCTCACCGCATGCTTATGAATTTAACTTATCATTATTATTGGATATTATATTAATTGTAGTTCCCAACCACTTTTTTCAGTTTTGTTTTCGCATGCCACTTTCGGTTGCTTTCTCTCGTAACCACATAGTGTTAAAATTTATATATTAAGTCACTTTTTTTTTTAATTTGTTTTTGCATACCTTTATTGTAATTCTACTAATTGCATGCTTTTTATTTTTCTATGTCTCTTTAGCACTTTATTTTTGTTGTCTTTTACTTATATATATATATATATATATATATATATATATATCTGTTATACATCATGTTATATAATATATTAGTAATATTATATATTGTTATATTATATTACATTACGTTATATTATACTAATATTTTATTATATATTAAAATACTATTATATGTGTTATATTATATATTATCATAGTATTATTATATCATATGCATTACATTATAATGTTATATTACATTTACTATATTATTATTATACATTGTATTATAATTTATATTATATTTTATCGTATTATAATACTGTATTATCATTAAATTATATCATTTTATATTGTGTTATATATTATTATAATATATATCTTAATATATTAATATTAAATTGTATTATGTTGTATACTTTATGATATTAGATTATACATTATGTTGTATAATACTATCACTATGTGTTATATTATATTAATATTCATTATATTGCATTATATTATTTGTGATATTAATTATATGGCATAATATTATATTTTATTATATTATTTTTATTTTTAATATTACTGCATATTATTAGTATTACATTTATCAATATTATTATAATATTATTAATAATATATTAATATTATTATATTATTAATATTAATATTATTAATAATATATTAATACTATTATCATTCTTGTTATTTTACAATTATATTATTTTATTATATAGTAACATATATTCTATTATTATATTATTATTATCATTATTATATTATTACATATTATTATTATCTTATATATGTTTCTATATTATGTACCATTGTTATACAAGTATTATAATCAAATTATTATATCTATTACATTGCATTATGTAGTATAATATATTATGTTATATATTGAGTTATTATTATATTGTATCATATATTTTATATTATTATGTTATATATTATTCTCTATTATTATAATAATATATATAATATTCTAATTTACATTTTATTATATAATAATATTGGAGTATCATGTTTTATTATATTTATATTATTATATTCTATTATGTTATATCACATTATTTTATATATATAATATATTATTGTATTATTTTATATTATTTACTATACTATTGTTTTATTGTATTATATTACATATAATGTATTTTATAATATTATATAATCCTATACTATTAATACATATTTAGTTACATTATGTTATATCATATTGTACTAATATTATATATTAATATATTTCTTTGTTATATTATATGATATATCATGCTATAATCATATTATGTTATATCATTTATCACTACTATATTATATATGTTATACTATAATGTCGTGTATATGTTATATATTTTATTATCATTGTTTATTGTTTATATTGTATTATTTTATTAATATTATATTATTATATTTCATTATATTATGTATTGTGTTATTATAATAAATTATTACAATTATATTATATATCATTTTTATTATTATATTCTATATGAAATACTCATATTAATATATTGTATTATATTGTTATATTAAATAATCTTTATTGCTATTATTGTTATTATTTCCATATTATATATTATTAATGCAACGATTATTATTATATCAATTTATTATATTGTATTATGTTAGGTACATTATATGTAGATTATATTATTATTGTTATATTGTATTGCTTTATTAATATTATATTATTATATTTCATTATATTATTATTGTTATATTGTATTATTTTATTAATATTATATTATTATATTTCATTATATTATTATTGTTATATTGTATTATTTTATTAATATTATATTATTATATTTCATTATATTATTATTGTTATATTGTATTATTTTATTAATATTATATTATTATATTTCATTATATTATTATTGTTATATTGTATTATTTTATTAATATTGTATTATTATATTTCATTATATTATTATTGTTATATTGTATTATTTTATTAATATTATATTATTATATTTCATTATATTATGTATTGTGTTATTATAATAAATTATTACAATTATATTATATATCATTTTTATTATTATATTCTATATGAAATACTCGTATTATATTAATATATTGTATTATATTGTTGTATTAAATAATCTTTATTGCTATTATTGCTATTATTGTTATTATTTCTATATTATATATTATTAATACAACAATTATTATTATATCAATTTATTATATTGTATTATATTAGATGCATTATATGTAGATTATATTATTATTGTTATATTGTATTATATATTATTATAATAAATTTTGTTATATTATTTCATTATTCTGTATTATTTTATAATGTTATTGTATCGTATTTATTTATTATTGTTATGCATTATTTTATATTATTTTATATCATACACTATTATAATATATGATATCATATCACATTATTATCATATTATTATCATATATTATATTGTATTATTGTTATATTA